TGGGTATTTACCCCAAAGATACAAATGTAGTGATCCGAAGGTGTACGTGCACCCCAATGTTTATAGCAGCAATGTCCACAATAGCCAAACTATGGAAAGAGACAAGATGTTCATCAACAGATTAATATTATGCAGCCATCAAAAAATGAAATCTTGCCATTTGCAACGATGTGGATGGAACTAGAGGGTATTATGCTAAGCGAAATAAGTCAGTCAGAGAAAGACAAGTATCAAATGATCTCACTGATATAAGGAATTGGAGAAACAAGACAGAGGATCATAGGGGAAGGGAGGGGAAAATGAAACAAGATAAAACGAGAGAGGGAGATAAACCATAAGAGACCCTTAATCTCAGGAAACAAACTGAGGGTTGCTGGAGTGGAGGGGGGTGGGAGGGATGGGGTGCCTGGGTGATGGACATTGGGGAGGGTATGTGCTATGGTGAGTGCTGTGAATTGTGTAAGACTGATGAATCACAGACTGGTACCCCTGAAACAAACAATACATTATATGTTAATTTAAAAAATGAGAATACCTGAAAAGACATTTTTCCAAAGAAAAATGGCTAGATGGCCAATAGACACATGAAAAGATGCTCAACATCACTAACCATCAGGGAAATACAAATCAAAACTACAATGAGGTATCACCTCACACCAGTCAGAATGGCTAAAATTAACAACACAGGAAACAACAGGTGTTGGCGAGGATATGGAGAAACGGGAACCCTCTTACTCTGTTGGTGGGAGTGCAAGCTGGTGCAGCCACTCTGGAAAACAGTATGGAGGTTCCTCATACCCTATGACCCAGCAATTGCATTACTGGGTATTTACACCAAGAAAATGAAAATACTAATTCAAACAGATATATGCATCCCTATGTTTATGGCAGCATTATTTACAATAGCCAAGATATGGAAGCAACCTAAGTGTGTACTGATAGACAAGTGGATAAGGAAGACAGAATATTATGCAGCCATAAAAAGGGATGAGACTGTGTCATTTGCAACAACATGACAGGACCCTAAAGGGTATTAGGCTGAGGGAAATAAGTCAGACAGAGCGAGACAAATATCATATGATTTCACTGATGTGTGGAATCCAAAAAACAAAACAAATGAATAAACAAACAAGCAGCAGAATCAGACCTGCAAATACAGAGCACAAACTGATGGCTGCACGAGGGGAGGGGGGTGATGGAGGGGTAAAACGGGTGTAGGAGAGCGGGAGATACAGACTTCCAGTGATGTAATGCATATGTCATGGGAACGAAAGGCACAGCACAGGGAATATAGTCAATGATATTGTAACAGCACTGTATGCTGACCCATGGTAGCTACACTTGCAGTGAGCATAGCATTACAGAGAGAGATGTTGAATCACTATGCTGCGCACCTGAAACTAATGTAACATTGTCTGTCAACTATACTCAAATAAAATTTTTAAGAACGTTAAAAGAAAAGAGGTAGGAGGAAGGGAGGAAAACTAAGAAAGTGCGGTGTTTCCAAATCTAAGAGTGTTTCAAGAAACATCCTTCTTCCCTCACTGGCTACTCCTTTTCTACCTCCTTTGTAAGTTCCTCTGCATCTCCCTGCCCCATGAATGGCAAGTCATCCCAGAGCTCACTCCTTGGACCTGTGTGACTGTCTACACTCACTCCTAGGTGATCTCATCTGCTCTCTCCTGACACTCTTCAAGACTTCTGCATTGACCACTCCCTCTCCCTGGAACTGATCTTCCACATGGCCTATTCCCTCTCCTCTTTCAGTTTTCTACTTAAGACTGAGTCATATTCTCAATAAAGTGTTCACTGGAAACCTACCCCAATTCTCTAAATTCTTCTTCCCTGCTTTAAATGTCTTCCTAGCATGTCACCTTATTTATTTTATTTATTGTTTGTACTCCCCACGATTAGAATGTATGTCCCGCAAGGGCATGGATTTTTGTTTCTTTTGATTATTGCTATATGCTCAGCTTCTAAAACAGTACCTAGAACATAGTAGATGCTTAAGAATATGTGCTGGCTGAGTGATAGAAGTGTTGAGTAAGATAAGGACAGAAAAGTAACTCATTGGGTAATAGTGGGGTACCATTTATATGGGGTAGTCAAGAATGGACTCATTTGTTCAGATCCCTGAAGGAAATAAGGTAGTGCAAGGCCAGGGCACAGAAAGTTGCAAATGCCCTGAGCTGGGAGGATGCCTGGTGTACTCAAAGAGCAGCCTAGAATGAACTAAGCCAGGCAAGAGTGCCAGGATATGAAGACAGAGAGAGAGCATGGAGAACCTTGGCTTTTACTCTGAGAGAAATGGGAGGGGGGCAGTTATACCTGAGTGGCTTGGTCTAACTTATACTGTAAGCCAATCACTTATGAAGCAAAAGAAAGAGAGGCGTCAAGCAGGACTCCAAGGTTTTTGGCCTGAGCAACTGGAAAGATAAAGTTACCATCAGCTGTGATTAGGATGGCTGTGTGTAGAACAGCTCTGAGGAGATCAAGAGTTCAGTTTTGGACACATACTGTTTGAGATGCCTATTATGCATTCAAGTGAAGATGTCAATTAGGTAGTTGGATATATAAATTGGTAGCAGGGAAGAGCTCTAGACTGGTGATACAACTTTGGGAGTCATCAGTATATAAATGTACATTTAAAGCCATGGTGTAGATGGAATCACCAAGGGAATGAATGTTGATAGAGTAGGTACTCAGAGATTGATCCAGAGATTGATCCTGTCCAATATTTAGTGACAGGAAAGAGGAAACTGAGAAGGAACAAAAGGCTGAGAGTATGATGTCCTAGAAATTAAGTGAAAGAAAGTATTCAAGGAGGGAGCAATCAGCTGTATCAAATGCCATTGGTAAGACATGATGTGGACTGAGGAGGGGCCATTGGTTATCATAATATGGAGGTCACTCATGACTGAGATAAGAACAATGGGGGCAGGCAGAGTCCTTACTAAAATAGGTTCAAGAGAATTCTTTGGAGGAATTTTTCAGTAAAGGGATAAAATATACTACTACATGGTAGTATTCCTATGTAGAATGCCACTGAGCCATTATAATTAATAAGCACCAATCTATATAGATCTCAAAAACATAAGTAGGAAATGATAATGATTATAATCAGTTTTTTAAAAAATCATATAAAATAATTCTACTTATTTTTCCACAGTAAAGAATGGAAATGTTCTGGAAGGCCATACATAAATTCGTCACAGTCATTGTCTCTGGAGAGGTGGAGGGTGACTAGCACTAGGAGTGTGCCAAGATTATTTTGGTTTTATTTGTAAAATTTCATTAAAAATGATCTGGAAAAACATATGACAAAATATTAACACTTAGTAATTCAGGGTGTTGAAGCATGGATGGCTATTATCTTCTGTACTTTCCTGTATTTTTAACATTTTTCCAAATTAACAGCACCAATAAGAACATGAGTGAGTTGGTGGTGAGGCTGTGTAGACTGAACTTCAGAGTTTCCATTAACTGTATTATATCACATGAAATTTATGTAAACGCATTGAAGCTATAAAAACTATAAGAACTTATAAGCTATAAGAACTGCTGATTGCAAACAGTTTTTAAGTAAGTAAAGAAAAATTTTAAATCATGAAAACATTGCCAAATCGGCAGAACAGAAATAACAGATTAAATGAGCTAGAAAAGGGTTGGATAAAAAGCCTGAAATCAGAAAAATTCCAGATATTTTGCTTGTATTAACAATTTCTCCCATTGCAAGTCTTGAACAATAAGAACAAATTCAGCTTATTAAATTTCACTTTTTTTACCTGCTTGATAAAGAAGGGAAATGATCCCAAACAAAACAAAATGAAATAACAACAAAATCCCTGCAGAAAGGGAGGAAAACCAGCAGCAAACCAGGCCTAAACTTAAGAGGTAAAACTATAAGAATCTTAGAAGAAAACATAGGGGCTCCTTGCTGCTATGGACTGTGGGCTGCCGGGGTCGGTGAAGGATCTCAAGATGGCTGGGGCAAAAACTTGCTCTAGAAACTAGTGACTGGGTAGCTTTTGGGGAGATCATACCCTGAAACCAGAAGGCCATTGCTAACACCCTGAAATCCTGGAATGAAACACTTACCTCCAGGTTGGCTACTCTCCCTGAGAAACCACCTGCTATCAACTGGGCTTACGACAAGGCCAATGTGGTGAAGGCTGGTTTGGTACATGAGTCTTTGAGAAGCACTTTAATGCCCTGAAGTTTCTTGTGCCAGAGAATAAATACACTGTTCAGGTGGATGCTGAAGAAAAAGATGTGAACAGTTGGGCTGAGGTTTTGTCTCTCTCAAAGGCCAGGATTGAGGAATATGAACAAGAGCTGGCGAAGATGAAGAACATAATTCCATTTGATCAGATGACCACTGAGGACCTGAATGAAGTCTTCCCAGAAACCAAATTAGACAAGAAGAAGTATCCCTATTGGCCTCACAAGCCAATCGAAAATTTATAAACTTGAGTTGGGGAGAAAGCTCTGGCCCTCGTATTATAAACGCTGGACATTTAAAGAAAAAGAAGAAGAAGAAAACATAGGGGGTAAATTTCATACCACTGGATTTGGCAATGAATTCTTCAATATGACACCAAAAGTCCAGGCAACGAAAGAAAAAAAAAATAGATAAACTGGACTTCATGAATGTAAACTAAGGCTTAGTTGAATCTCTATTATATGCATATTGATTATTCCTATTTTGGATTATCTATTAATTCTAGAACAGCTTTCTCTAAACTATTCCACTACCACACATCCCTTCTCCTCCCCATTTCTAGGGTTCCTTTCTCTATTCCCTTTATCCATCACACAAAGCCTTTGCTATATCATTTCTCAAAGGGCTGCTATTTCTTTTTCCAATGTGAGGGAAGGACATGGATGGACTACCTTCCATTTTAAATGATCTATATCATGCTTTTTTTGTTAGTGCAAACCATGGGGAATTTTACCTATTATCTCTCACTCTTGATATCTTAAAAGGGTTTTTTTCTTACCGTTCTATACATAGGCACTTGCTGTGAAGTCACTGGATATCCCACTGGAGGCAATACCTTAAAGAAAAGTGTCAGTTACTATGTAGTACATTTTCTACTAGTATTTAATAAGAAATGTTGTAAGATACAGAAAAAAATTCTGCTACATATTTAATTTTGAGAACAAATATATGGAACCATTTCTAGCCAGGACAATGATCTTTCCTTGAGCATGACAAATTTAGGACTAGACAGACATATAAACCAATGAAATAGAAGAAGGAGCACAGAAAAAACCCTCACATATCTTTTTTTTTTTAATTTTTATTTTTTTAAAGATTTTATTTATTTACTTGTGAGAGAGAATGACAGACAGAGAGCATGAGAGGGAGGAGGGTCAGAGGGAGAAGCAGACTCCCCGCAGAGCAGGGAGCCCGACGCGGGACTCGATCCAAGGACTCCAGGATCATGACCCGAGCCGAAGGCAGTCGCTTAACCGACTGAGCCACCCAGGCGCCCAAAAACCCTCACATATCTAGTCAATTGATTTCTGACAAGGGTGCCAAGACCATTCAATGGAAAAAGGACAGTCTTCGACAGATGATACAGGGACAACTGGATAGTCACATGCAAAACAATAAAGTTGGACCTTTACCTCACAGTATATACAAAAATTAACTCAAAATTGATCAAAGACCTAAACTTAAGAGTGAAAACTGGAAGAATCTTAGAAGAAAACATAGGCGGTAACTTTCATACCATTGGATTTGGCAGTGAATTCTTAAATATGACACCAAAAGTCCAGGCAACAAAAGCAAAAAATAGATAAATTGGACTTCATGAAATCGCTAAAAAATTTGTGTATTTAAGGACACAATCACGGGAGTAAAAAGACAACCCACAGAATGGGAGAAAATATTCCCTAATCATATATCTGATAGGGGATTAATATCCAAAATGTATAAGAACATCTACAATTTAACAACAACAAAACAAATAACCAAATTCAAAAATGGCCAAAGGTTTTGAATAGACATTTCTCCAAAGAAAATACACAAAAGGCAAGAAATCACATGAAAAGATGCTCAACGTCACTAAACATTAGGGAAATGAAAATGAAAATCACAATGAGATATTAATTCACACCCATTAGCAGTGGCTATAATAATTTTTTTTAATCCAGGAAACAAGTGTTGGTGAGTGTGTTCGGAAGCTGGAACCCTCATGCATTGCTGGTAGAAATACAAAGTGCTTTAGCCACTGGAGTAAATGGTATGACAATTCCTAAAAAAATTAACCATAGAATTACAATATGATCCAGCAATTCTACCTCCAGGTATATACCCGAAGAATTGAAAGCAGAAACTCAAACAGATATTTGTACACCAGTGTTCATAGCAGCATTATTCACAATAACCAAAAGATGGAAACAACCCAAATGTCCATCAGTGGATGTATGGATTAACAAAATGTTGTAAATATATACAATGGAAAATTATTTCGGCTTAAAAAAGAATGAAATTCTGAGGCTACAACATGGATGAATCTTGAAGACATTACACTAAGTGAAATAAGCCAGACACAAGAGGACAAATAATGTATGAATGCACTTATAATGAGGTACCTATAATAGTCAAATTGATAGAGACAGAAAATAGAAAAGTAAACATCAGCAAGTAGAGTATGGAAAACACCAGAATTAAAAGTACCACTGAACTGGAAGTGAATTTATCCTTTTTCCCTTCCGTTATCCTCCACACTGGACTGAAAGCAGCCTGAAACCTGGAAGAGATCACTATTGTACAGATGAGAGAAAATTCCAGAAGTCTAGCTCTGACCTGAGTAGCTCTAAAGAGAACTTCTAAAGCTCAGAGAGAGTCAGAAAGTCCCCCAATGTTTTTCCTTTTTCCTCCTTTTTCTCTATTCTATCACGCCCCAGCTCCCAGTACTATCAGGGCAACAAAGGTGGCCAATATTCCAAGGAGAGAAGTTTTCTTCTCCATTAGGTGGAGCTGTGGCTCCATGAGCGGAGGGACAATTTTTTTTTTTTTTTTTTTTTTTTTAATTCTCTATGTCCTACCGCCACTTGGAACGCTGACTTGTCTCAATCACAGAAGTGAGTAGGGTTTGGGACCAGAGGAAAATACTGGAGAGAAAGCAGAGAGAGAAAAACACAGGGAAGCTGTTTGTGAACTCCTGCGCTCATGGTGCCCCTCCCTCCACCTGTGCAGGGGTAGGTTTGATTTTCTTTTAATTAAGTTTTTTTTTTTAATTTTTTTTTAAAGATTTTATTTATTTATTTGAGAGAGAGAGTGAGAGAGAGAAAGAGCACAAGAGGGGGGAGCGGGAGAGGGAGAAGCAGACTCCCTGCTGAGCAGGGAGCCCGATGCGGGACTCGATCCTGGGACTCAATCCCGGGACTCCAGGATCATGACCTGAGCCCAAGGCAGTCGCTTAACCAACTGAGCCACCCAGGCGCCCTTAATTAAGTTTTTATTTAAATTCCAGTATAGTTAACACAGAGTGTAATATTAGTTTCAGGTGTACAATATAGTGATTCAGCACTTACATACAACACCCGCTGCTCGTCACAACAACTGCACTCCTTCATCCCCATCCCCTAGCTCACCCATCCCCCTGCCCACCTCCCCTCTGGTAACCATCAGTGTCTTCTCCATCGTTAAGAGTCTGTTTCTTGGTTTGCCTCCCTCTCTTTTCTTCCTTTTGCTCAATTTGTTTTGTTTCTTAAATTCCACATATGCGTGAAATCATAGGGTATTTGTCTTTCTCTGACTGACTTAGTTCACTTAGCATACTAGCTCTATCCTTGTCATTGCAAATGGCAAGATCTCATTCTTTTTTGTGGCTGAGTAATATTCGTGTGTGTGTGTGTGTGTGTGTGTATACACACCAAATCTACCAAATCTTTTCTTTCCTCAGACCTTAGAGTAGGGTTCAGTGTAGGGCTGGAATAGGGGTAAGGGTTAGGGTTATGGCCAGGGTGACAGTATGAGCCTATTGTTCTGTAGTTCAGAGACCTCTACAGAGGGATAAATTTAGGGCAAGTGTAATAGATTGATGGGTTAGGGTTAGGTGTTAGCAGTTAGTGGTTAGGGGTAAAGTTTAGGGTTTGGCTTAGGATTGGGTTTTCAATTACAAGAAAAAAAAAAAGAATAGTCTCTACCTCTATCCATGTCATTACACATGGCAAGATTTCCTTGTTCTTCATGCCTGAGTAACATACCATTGTATATATACACCAAATATTTTCTTTCCTTAGATCTTGGAGTAGGGCTTGGTGTAGAGTTGGCATAAGGATAAGCATTAGGGTTAGGGCTGGGATAAGGGTATGGGCCTACTGTCCTGCAGTTCAGAGACCTCTACAGAGGGATGCATTTAGGTAGAGGGTTATGGTCAGGGTGAGGGTTTAGGATTAGGGCTTAGTGGTTAACAGTTAGGGGTTAGAGTTAGGGTTTGGCTGAGGGTTAGGTTTTCAATTAGAATACTCTCTAGCTCCATCCATGTCATTGCAAATGGGAAGACTTCATTCTTTTTAGAGCTGAATAATATTCCACTATAAATATATACCACATCTTCTTCATCCATTCATCTATCGATGGACACTGGGCTGTTTCCATACTGTCAATAATGCTGCTGTCAACAATACTGCAGTAAACTTTTGGATGCATGTATCTCTTTGCATTAGGGTTTTTGTATGCTTTGGGTAAATACCCAGTAGTGATTGCTGGATGATAAGGTAGTTCTATTTTGAACTTTTGAGGACCCTCCCTATTTTTCAGAGTGGCTGCGCTAGTTTGCGTTCCCACAGTGCAAGAGGTTCCCCCTTTTCTCCCCATCCTCACCAACATCTGCAGTTTCCTGTGTTGTTGCTTTTAGCCATTCTGACAGCTGTGAGGGGATATCTCATTGTGGGTTTGATTTACATCTCCCAGATGATGAGTGATGCTGAGCATCTTTTCATGTGTCTGTTGGCCATCTGTATGTCTTTCTTTTAAGATTTTATTTATTTATTTGTCAAAGAGAGAAAGAGAGAGAGATTGCACAAGCAGGGGGAGCAGCAGAGGGAGAGGGAGAAGCAGGCTCTCTGCTGAGCAAGGAGCTCAATGCGGGACTCGATCTCAGGACCCTGGGATCATGACCTGAGCTAAAGGCAGACACTTAACCAGCTGAGCCACCCAAGTGCCCATCTGATTGTCTTCTTGGAGAAATGGCTGTTCATGTCTTCTGGCCATTTTTAAATTGGATTATTCATCTTTTGGGTGTTGAGTTTGATAAGTTCTTTATAGATTTTGGATACTAACCTTTTACTGGATATGTCACTTGCAGGTATCTTCTCCCATTCCATAGGTTACCTATTAGTTTTGTTGATTGTTTCCTTTGCTGTGCAGAAGCTTTTTATTTTAATGTAGTCCCAATAGTTTACCTTTGCTTTTATTTCCCTTGCCTCAGGAGATGGATGTCAAAAGAAAGCCAGGGTAGCAATATTTATATCATACAAAATCGACTTTAAAACAAAGACTGTAGGGGCGCCTGGGTTGCTTAGTCAGTTAAGCGTCTGCCTTCAGCTCAGGTCATGATCTCAGGATCCTGGGATTGTACCCCTTGTCAGGCTCCCTGCTCAGCCGGGAATCTGCTTCTCCCTCTCCCTCCACTCCTACCCCCTGCTCTCTCTCAAACAAATAAATAAAATCTTTTAAAAAAATAAACAATAGGGATGCTTGTGTGGCTCAGTCGGTTAAGCATCTGCCTTCGGGTCAGGTCATGATCCCAGGGTCCTGGGATCAAGTCCCACACTGGACTCCTTGCTCAGTGGGGAGCCTGCTTCTCTTTCTGCCTGCCACTCCCCCTGCTTGTGCTCTCTCTCTCTGACAAATTAAATAAATAAAATCTTTAAAAAAAAATAAAAAATAAAACAAAGACTGTAACAAAAGACAAAGAAGGACACTATATAATCATAAAGAGGATGATCCAATAAGAAGATACGACAATTGCAAATATTTATGCACCCAACATGGGAGCACCCCCAAATACATAAAACAGTTAATAACAAACATAGAGGAATCAACCGATAGTAATACAAATAATAGTAGGGAACTATGACATCCCACTTACATCAATGGACAGATTATCCAAACAAAAAATCAACAAGGAAACAATGGCTTTGAATAACACACTGGAACTGATGAATTTAATAGATATATTGAGAACATTCCATCCTAAAACAGAATACACATTCTTTTCAAGCACACATGGAACATTCTCCAGAATAGATGACATATTAGGTCACAAAACAGGTCTCAGCAAATTCAAAAAGATAGAAGGCATACCATGCATCTTTTCTGACCACAGCACTATGAAACTAGAAATCAACCATAGGAAAAAATATGGAAAGCCCACAAATACATGGAAGTTAAATAACATGCTATTAAACAATGAATAGGTCAAAGAAGAAATCAAAGAATAAGTCAAAAATTACATGGAAACAGATGAAAATGAAAACACAATGGTAGATCTGATCTTGATGAACATACTGAAGAATGATTACAGGGGAGAGGCCAACACCTAGGCCCCAGGCTGACCATTGGGTGGCACACATGCAGGACAGGCCCGAATAGCAGCACAAAGGCTGCAGAAACCGAGCTGACACTGGTTGGAACCACAGGCCAGAGAAGGAGGCAGAATGTGCAGCTTAAACCTAACCAGGTCAAATCCCTGCTAAAACACAAATACCAACATTCTCCATAAAATTTAATAAGGCCCAGAGACAAAGTAATAGTCAAGAATGTCCAGGACGCAATCCAACAAAATAATAGTCAAGAATGTCCAGGACGCAATCCAAAATTAGTTGACCCATGAAGAGCCATAAAAATCTCAACTTGCATGACAAAAAGGTAATCAACATACACCAATGATGAGATGACACAGATGGTGAAATTATCTGACAAAGACTTTCAAGTGGCCATTATAAAATGCTTGAATGAGTAATCATGAACACTCCTGAAATAAAATAGAAAGCATCAGCAAAGAAACAGAAGATATAGGAAAAGACAAATGGAAGTTTCACAACTAAAAACTGCAATAACTGAGATAAAAATACACAATTGAAGGACCCAATATCAGAATGCAGATGACAGAGGAAAGATTCACTGAACTTGAAGACAGACCAATGGAATTATTTATTCTGGAGAACAGGAAAAAAAAAGATTTAAAAGAAACAAAGAGCCTCAGGGACCAGTGGGACCACAATCTAAAGGTCTAATATTTGTGTCATCAGAGTCACAGAAGGGAAAGAGAATGACTATAGTGCTGAAAAAACATTTGAAGCATTAAGGGCAGAAAACTTCCCAAGTTTGGCAAAAGATATAAAAATGCAGATTCAAGAAGCTGTACAAACCTGAGCAGAATAAACTCCCCAAATCCATGCCATCATATTCAAACTTCTGAAAATGAAAGACAGAGAAAAATATCCTGAAAGCAGCCACAGAAAAACTATGCAATATCTACAGGGGAACAAATGATTCAGATGACAGGATTTTTCACCAGAAACCATGAAGCCAGAATAAGGATTTTTCACCAGAAACCATGAAGCCAGAATAAAGTGGCCCATCTTTCAAATGCTAAAAGAAAAGAACTGTCACTCCAGAATTCTGTATCCAGTAAAAATTGCTTTAGGATTGGAACACTACATCAAAAACTAATGATGTAATGTATGGTGATTAACATAACAATAAAAAAATTTTTTAAATTGCTTTAGGATTAAAGGTGAAATGAAGCCATTCTCAAATGAAGGAACAATAAGAGAATTCATCGCCAGAATTGCTAATGGATGTTCTTCAGGTAGAAAGGAAATGATACTAGAAGAAATGAAGGAAAAGCAACAGAAATGGTAAGTATCTCAGTAGATATAACAGGCTATTCTCCCATTCTTGAGTTCTGCAAAAAGTGTAAGATTGTCTGATTGGTCCTTTCCTTTTTTTTTTTTTTTTAATCTGATTGGTCTTTTCAATGTAACATAAAAGGAGGAAGGTAAGGGGACCTATATGGTGCTAATGCTTTTACGCTCCAATTGAAATGGTAAAATTCTTATTCTAAATGGACTGTGAAAAGTATGTATTTTGTACATGCTAGAGCAAACACTAAGAAACCATACAGAGAGATATAGTCCAAATCACAACATATAAATTAAAAGGAAATACTATTCCAAAATATATTCAAAGAACCCAAAAGAAGGCAAGAAAGAAGAAACAGAGGAACAACAATGATGATGAATAGAGGGAAAAAACAGAAAATAAAAGTTAAACAACATACCTCTAAATAATCTCTGAGTCAAAAAGAAATTAAAAATACATTGAACTGGACGAAAATGAAAATAAAACATCTAAAGCAGGGACTTAGTGGGAGTTTTATACCATTAAACAATATATTAGAAAAGTATCAAATCCATAATCCAAACTGCTTTCTTCAGAAACTAGGAGAAGAGCAAAATAAGCTCAAGTCAAGCAGAAGGAGGGAAATAACAAAGATAAAAGCAGAAATCAATACAATTAAAAACAGAAAGCCAATAGAGAAAATTCAATAAAACTAAAAGTTGGTTCTTTGATACAATCAACAAAATTGATAACTCTGTAGAGCAAGATTGCCAAAAACAGAAGACACAAATCACCAATATCAAGAGTGAAAGAACGGAAATCACCAGATCTTGCAGCCATTTAAAGGAAAATAAGGGAATAATATTAATAGCTTTTCTAATGTAAATTTGACCCCAACTGTTAGGTTGTTCCTACACTTCTTCCTGTTCATTCCAAACCCCAAAATTCCCTTGCTATACCCTTGCTAGGTTCTTAGTCATCTGTGTCCACTATGAAGCAGCCACACCTTTCCTCAGTACATTTTGAAATTACTTACTCCTGTTTCCCAAATCCTCTCAAAACTCTCATTCCTAGAAGTACCTCAGCTGCATATTAGGAAAACAAAGTCACTGTGTACTCAATAGATAATATGCAGTTTTAAAGCAAAATCATATAAAAATAGCACAGGTCCACATCCTTAAGCCCTTGGGGCCAAATGTATTTTGGAATTCAAAATGTTTTGTATTTTGGAAAAATAATTTAGAAATTACACAAAGAATATATTAGTAACACCCCAGGGGGGCTGGAATAGCTCCCTGTTAATCAAACACATTAATATCTCTGCAGCAAAACACAAATGCAAAATTCATGTGTGAATATTTACAGTTAGATAAATAATAACTACAGCCTCATCTGAGTTCAGATAAAGTTTTGCAGCCAAAACAGTTTGTTGCAAACTTAACAAAAAAAAAAAAAACACAAAAAAAACCCACAAAAAACCTTGTTTTCTGGAGCTTTTTGAATTTTAGAATTGCAGATAATTTATTGGGGACCCATATTTCAACTTTCAATCTATTAGCAACTCCTGTCAGTTCTCTCTCTCAAATCTCTTTCTTTTGATCTACGGCTACCATTCTAGCATTCTAGGTAATAATACCTAATAAACATTACCATGTGGGGAACAGGAGGAATAGAAACATGTTTCCAGAGCGTTGATGTGCAGGTGTAGGTATTCAACTGCCACTTCATTCCACCAGGAATTTCCATCTCTGAAGGCTGAGGCCACTTCCTGTCAGATCTAAGATGGGATTTATAAATCAGCCCATTTTAGAGACTGACAAATCTATGATTTAAACATTATCAGGATACAGCCCTTGAGACAATATTCATGCTTCTCAACAGGTAAGAGATAATAGGACGGAATCACAAAACAACGCCAAAAAAAAGACCATTGGCTGTTTTTGTATAGGAAATTAAGTTATCATTTCAAAACTAGAAGTTTCTACTGGGTTTTGCTAGATAATGCCAAGTTTAAATTCCCCACTAATGAAGTTTGAGAGTTAATAGAAAGAATTCAGTAGTAGCAGTTTCCCATAAATAAAGTGACTTGAGTGAATATATTTTATTCTAAACTATCTTAATAGTGTATCTGGAGAAAAAAACTAGTATACCCTCATGGTAGTAGGTCAAGGGGCACTAGGCTAAGAGGCAGAAGTATTACATTCGGAGCCCCACGAGGCTATTCACTAGCTGTGTGACCTTGATTAAGTAACTTCTTCCTTTATTTGTAAAATGGAGATAAACAATGCTTTACCTATCCGCTTCATAGAATTAAAGTTATTTAGGAGAATAAATAATACTAGATAGAAAATATATCATATGAGGATTAATAGAACAAAAAGGAAACAAACTCTTATGGTTCTTGTCTCTAAAAGCTCCTATTTATTCCATATTTGTCATTTGACTTAGATAAATTTAAGTTTTATCTACGTGACACAGAGTTTAAAAAGTCTTAAGGCTAAAAGATCCAAAACCAAAACATCAGTCACCACTTCCCCTTCCAAAAGGTAGCCACTCTTTTCTTATTATTAATTTTCTTTGGAAGATCTATCACTTACACCATATCCTACTTCCCCTCCTACCTTTCCACATCTACATCTTTATTTTTTTTAAAGATTTTATTCATTTGAGAGAGATACAGAAACAGAAAAAGCACAGGTAGGGGGAGAGCAGAGGGAGAGGGAGAAGCAGACTCGCTGAGCTGGGAGCCCAACATGGGGCTGGATCCCAGGACCTGGAGATCATGACCCAAGTCGAAGGCTGACGCTTAACCACCGAGCCACCCAGGCGCCCCCCACATCTACCTCTTTAAAATCTAGTTTATGTATATATAAAACCACTAAGGAGGTTAATAGCCCTGACTCTAGAGCAAGACTGCCTAGGTTCAAACCCCACGTCAGGCACTTAATAACTGTATAAGGTTGGGCAAGTTACAGAATCTCCATATCTCAGTTTTCTCACATGTGAAATGTGGATTCATCGTATTCATTCAACAAATATCCATTAAATATCTACTAGGTGCCAGGCACTATTCTTGGTGCTTAAAATATATAAAACGGATGAAAATACCTGCCTTCATGGAGCTTATGGTCTAGTGGAAATAATAACTATCTCAAGTTGAAGGATTTTTTTCCTGGAGACATCCCTCTTGGAGTTCTATATCCTTCTGTTCCAATCTAATGTGCTACTCTCTAGGAAATGTCACCCTGGAATTTCCACTGTTGCTATATCGGGAATTCCCTCCACCTCTCACTTCAGTAGGGCTCTCTTTTTCCCTGAATCCCATGTGCTTCTCTCTCTTAGTTTACTTCTTTCTTTTCTTAGAGCCTTTTGAATTTTGAAAATGTCTATTTAACTCTTGCATTTGGTTGAGAGCTTGTCTGAGTACAAAATTCTAGACTGAAAATAAATTTCACTAAGAATTTTTAACAGATTGAAGTACTGTATTCTAGCTTCCAGTGTAATTAAAGATCCAAAGTTACACTTATTCCTGATTCATTGTTTGTGCTTTGTTTTCCTCAATTCTTGACACTTTAACCTTTTCTGTTCAATCCCCACAATACTAGGATGTTTCAAAGTTCAATTCTGGACCTACCATTATCCTCTTTATTCTCTACCAAGATGAAGTGATCAAGCCCTTATGGCTTTAACTACCACAGTTTTTAGCTCCAGCTCTAAAATCCAGACTCCTATGTTTACCTACCTCTTAGATGTCTCATACATATCTGAAACCTGTCAAAGGGAATGCTTAATTCAACTTACCAACTGAAACTATTTCTCCTTCAATCTTTCCCATCACGATATGTGACATTACCATCCATGTAGTAGCTCAAACCAAAAACTTAAGCACCATCCCTAATCCTCTTTCCCTCACCTCTAATAGCAGGTCCTATCAACTCTACCTTCAAAACATGTCTCAGACGCATCTGCTTTTCATTATACCACCTCCAGTACTACCATCTCAGATGAGGTGTTTCATTGTATTTGTGAGCTCAGCCGGGAACCCATGATACATCAGCAGATCTATAATTCCTCTTTAAAAACTTATGTGTGGGGCACCTGGGTGGCTCAGTTGGTTAAGCGACTGCCTTCGGCTCAGGTCATGATCCTGGAGTCCCTGGATCGAGTCCCACATCGGGCTCCCTGCTCGGCAGGGAGTCTGCTTCTCCCCCCTCTCATGTGCTCTCCGTCTCTCTCATTCTCTCGGTCTCAAATAAATAAATAAAATCTTTAAAAAAAAAAAAAAAACTTATGTGTGGATGGGACTGGAGGAGATTACGCTAAGTGAAATAAGTCAAGCAGAGAAAGTCAATTATCATATGTTTCACTTATATGTGGAACATAAGGAATAGCATGGAGGACATTAGGAGAAGGAAGGGAAGAATGAAGGGGGGGGAATTGGAGGGGAAGACGAACCATGAGAGACGATGGACTCTGAGAAACAAACTGAGGGTTCTAGAGGGGAGGGGGGTGGGGGAATGGGTTAGCCCAGTGATGGGTATTAAAGAGGGCACGTTCCAGGGCGCCTGGGTGGCTCAGTTGGTTAAGCGACTGCCTTCGGCTCAGGTCATGATCCTGGAGTCCCGGGATCGAGTCCCGCATCGGGCTCCCTGCTCGGCGGGGAGTCTGCTTCTCCCTCTGACCCTCCTCCCTCTCATTCTCTCTGTCTCAAATAAATAAATAAAATCTTAAAAAAAAAAAAAAAAGAGGGCACGTTCTGCATGGAGTACTGGGTGTTATACGCAAACAATGAATCGTGGATCACCACATCAAAAACTAATGATGTAATGTATGGTGATTAACATAACATAATAAAATAAAATTTAAAAAAATAAATAATAAATAAAATCTTTAAAAAATAAATAAGTAAATAAATAAATAAATAACATCACACTAAAAAAAAAAAAAAAAACCTTGTGTGGTATTTGGTCCATACATGTTTCTTGGATGAATTTTGTTGTTTATATTTTGCCTGGAAATCATCAATTTACTCCCAATTTTCAAATATGTTGTTGCCAAACTGTTGCATAAAGTATTTGCTTTTATTATTTTAGTCTCGCCTACACCTGTGGTCATGTCAGCCCTCTTAATCTTCATGTTGTTATACTTTTACACTCTTTTCTGCTTAGTCAGAGGATCTTCTTTTATTGGACTTTACAAAGAAATGTTTTGCGTTTATTTGTTTTTGTTTGCAATTTTATTAATTTGAGCTTTTATCTTTATAAATTTTATCTAATTTGTTTTTTTACAATTTTACATAGATTTCTTAAGATAAAAACTAAATTCTTATTAATTTCTCTTTTTTACAATGAAATTTTCCTCTGAGTTTACCTTTTGATAGTTATCAAACTATGTATTTCCTCTTTGGCAAAGGTTAAACTTACAAATAGTTAAGATTTTCATGCCCAATTTTTTATTAACAAGTTCTGATTTCATTAGATTATGACAGAATGTAGCCTGTAAAATTCTTTAGTTTTTTGTCATGTTTTTCTTTTTGGTTGCACACACTCAGGATTATTATTTATTATTTTCTTTTCTTAAGTTCTTCCTGTATTTCTAATAATTTTTACCTTATATATTTAAATTTGTGTATACACAAAACAGTGTCTCCATAATAAGTGTCTTTTATCATTGTATGATATCCTTCCTTATTCTGTTTAGTGATTTTAAACTTACATTCCACAGTGTTTGTTGTTAATATTATCACTTCTGCCTTCCTTTGGTTTCAATTTGCCTGCTTTTTGGAGGTTTTTTTGGCTGAAAATGTAGGGATTCACACACTGAAGTAACATTGATTATCTTAAGATGCTGAGGAGCTCCAACTGGTGGTTTTATTGTCTTTGTTTAACAAAATAAAAAATAAGTATTATTCATTTAATACAGTCTATATAATAAAGTAAGAAAAGAACCAAAAGTACAAAAAATTTGAGAAATGCCAATATTTAAAACATGCTTAGAAAAAGAAGATCCTTCAGATGAACCATAAAGGGATTGTCAGAGGGGTAGAAGGAGAACCATGCAATACATAATACATTGCACTTTAACCAAGAACTTCACCTACAAAAACTGGGATAGAATATAAAGAGTAAATTCTCTACTTTAATTTTTGAAGGAAAAAAAATTCACATATTATAGAGTTTTGTAACTAATGATTCCTATATCGAATTCTAAAATAATTATTTTCTAGTTGTTATTCTCATGAGTCTCTTCCTCTAACATGTATGTGTTATCGGCTGTCCTTTTTAAATAATAAAAACTTACTTGTTGACTGGGCTTTCTCCAAGGTTAAGATCTGTTTCATAAAACAAACAAATTTTACATTAATTTTGTATACTTTTTCTTAAAATGCATTTAAAATATATATATATATATGGATTATTGATTTAAAAATAGATGCTTACTTCCTACAAGGCTAGCAAGTGAGCCATCCAGATTGTTCGCTATGGTTTTTCCACATTGCTGTCTGGCTCCAACAGGTTTGTGGGCTTGTGAAGGTAATGTTGGTTATAATATATCATATAGGGAAGATAATCTGAAAATAAGAGACAGAATTAGATGAAAAACTAAACCAAATTTATATCAGTAATGATATATATGTACCTCCCATTACAAACTAACAGCACATCAAGTTCTTAGGTTAATGAGTTTAAATAAAGTCATGTAAAATTATTCATTAAATACATTTTAATTGAGGATTCGTTAGACACCATACTAGGTGCTAAAGATACACCAGTGAAGACAAAAAAGATAAAAATCCCTGCCTTCTTGTAGCTTACATTCCACTGGAGACAGAAAATAATCAATACAAATGAAGTATATGTTAGATTGTGGTAAGTGCCGAGGGAAAAATAACAGAGAAAGAAGTATGATATGTTGGGGGGGGAGGGGGTATGTAAATTTAGATAGGAAAGGCTCACTGAGAAGAGGACCTTTTTTTTTTTTTAAAGATTTTATTTATTTGACGGAGAGAGACACAGCGAGAGAGGAAACACAAGCAGGGGGAGTGGGAGAGGGAGAAGCAGGCTTCCCGCTGAGCAGGGAGCCCAATGCGGGGCTCTATCCCAGGGACCCTGGGATCATGACCTGAGCCGAAGGCAGACGCTTAACGACTGAGCCACCCAGGTGCCTCGAGAAGAGGACTTTTAAGTAAAGACCTAAAGTATGTGAAAAGTGAACCATGTGGACCCAGCAGAAGGAACAACATGAGCAAAGGCCCTCAGGAAGGAGTATATTTGAAGAATAGTGAGGAGGCCAATGTGTCTGGAGTCAGAGTAATCAAAGGAGTCAGAAAGGCAATTGAGGGCCTTGTAAAGAATTGTAAGGACTTTGCATTTTACTCTGAGGCCACCATCTTAGGCCAACTTCCCTGAGATGGGGAAGCCACTAGAGGGATTTGAACAGAGGAGAGACATGATCCATCTGACTTGTATTTTAATCGGATCACTCTGCTATGTAAAGAATGGACTGTAGAGGGCAAGGGAAGAAGCTAAGAAGTGATGGTAACTTGAACTAGGGTGGTAGCACTGAAGATAGTGAGAAGTGGTCAACTGTAAAATCAGCAGGTTTGGGATGGAATATCAGAAGCTTAGTTTTAGACATATTGAGTTGTAGAACCCTATTAGATAATTCAAGTGAAACCACTGGATAGACACTTGGATATATAATTCTGGAGTCCAAGAGAAATGTCTGTAACTAGAGATACTAATTTGGGAGTCCTTATCATGTAAACAGTATTTAAGGCCTTGAGTCTGGATGAGGTCATCTAGGCAATGAAAAAGTATACATAAAGAGGAGAAATGAGGGAAAATCAGTATAAAAAAAAAAAGTCTAAAAAAGAGCCAAGAGTCGCATAAGAAAACCAATAGGCAAACTGAAGAAAGTGTATAAAGGAAGTGGGAGTGATGAACTAGGGGGCCTAATAAGAGGAAGACCAAGTAATCACCATCAGATCTTGCAACATGGAGGTGACTGGTGACTTTGACAAGAGTCATATAGTGGCGTGGAGGATAAAAATAGTGCTTAACATAGCTTATGAGGAAGCAAGGGAAATTTTAACATACCTTTCTTAGTAACTCTATGAACAAGCAGGCAAAATAATGAAGATACAGAGGATTTGAACAACACAATTAACAACCTCAACCTAATGGACATACACAGAACACTGTATCCAGCAATTACAGGATACAGTTTTCCAGTGCACATAAAACTTCTACCAAAAAAAAATGATTATATGCTGGGCCATGAAGCAAGTATCAACAGATTCCAAAGGACTGAAATTATAAAGAAGGTTCTTTGACACAGTGCAAGTAAGCTAGAATTCGGTAGCAAAAAAGATCATTAGAAGATCCCATTTATCCAATAGACACATGAAAAGATGCTCAACATCACTCAGCATCAGGAAAATACAAATCAAAACTACAATGACATACCACCTCACATCTGTCAGAATGGCTAAAATCAACACCACAGGAAACAACAGGTGTTGGCAAAGATGTGGAGAAAAAGGAACCCTCTTGCAGTGTTGGTGGGAATGCAAACTGGTGCAGCCACTGTAGAAAACAATATGCAGGGTCCTCAAAAAGTTAAAAATAGGACTAGTTTATTTTCCAGTAATCTCACTACTGGGTATTTACCCACAAAATACAAAAACACTAATGTAAACGGATATGTGCATCCCTACATTATAGCAGCATTATTGACTATAGCCAAATTATGGAAATGGTCCAAGTGTCCATTGATAGATGAATGGATGAACAAGATGTGGTATATATACACAATGAAATATTACTCAACCATCAAAAAGAATGAAATCGTGCCATTTGCAATGACGTGGATGGAGCTAGAGGGTATTACGCTAAGCGAAATGAGTCAATCAGAGAAAGACAAATACCGTATGATTTCACTCACATGTGGAATTTAAGAAACAAAACAAAGGATCACGGGGCGGGGGAAGAGAGAGACAAAACAGACTCTTAACTATGGAGAACACACTGATGGTCAGCAGAGGGGAGGTGTGTGGCGGGATGGGTGAAATAGGTGATGGGGATGAAGGAGGGCACTTGTCCTGAGGAGCCCCAGGTGTTGTATGAAAGTGTTGAATCACTATATTGTACACTTGGAACTAATATAACACTGCATGTTCACTATACTGGAATTAAAATAAAAAATAAGATTAAAATATCCCCATTTCCCATATACATGAAATTTTAAAATGCATTTCTAAGTAACACATGGGTCAAGCCCTGTTCTAAGCACTTTAGAAGTATTGATTCATTTATCCTGACAGCAACCTTATGAGGATCAGGAAGCTAAGGCACAGAGAGGTTAAGTGGTCTGCCCAAAGTCACACCATCCATGAATGGTAGAGTGAAAATTGAACCCAAGCACTCCGGTTTCATGGCAGGTACTTTTAAATCAGTGATTTAAGAAAAAACGTGCTTTCGGCTGATCATAGGATTGTCAACAGAATTGGTTCAAGCAGTGAGGGTAAAGGCAAGCCATAGGGCTTTATAACAGAATGGTAGGAGCTCCCCATTCCCCCTATACTTGGTTTGGAACTCACATTTACAACAGACTGAAGCCACAGCTTGTCAAATACTATATTTACCCTTCTTGTAAAAACCACGGGAACTCAGAAAAGCAGTCATTCTTTTGGAAACAAATCAAACGTGCCACTTTTGCTATAGTAGGATTTTACTCAAAGGACTTATGTTCCTCAAAATTTTGGTCAAACTCACCCATTGAAAATGCAGAAGTTGTGTCCATTGAGAGTATATGTACAAAAGAAAAGTAAAAACATTTAAAATAGATACAGTTTAAGTCTTCAGGTTAAATTGAGAACAAACTTTAATTCAAACAATATAAACTCTATGGTAATATAACATTATTACATGAATTTGTGTCTAGAGGATCAAGTGACATCACTGAAAACGCAATCACCCATTAAAGAACAGAATATGACTGATTATGAGCTGTCATGTGCCAGGAAATGTATAACAACCAGCTCTCCAAGAAAAACAAAAGGCCTGTCTTACAGTGTTTGTCCATTTCTGTGGTGTAAATACTTTCATCATGGCCAATTTCAAGTTACCAATGTGACATCAACCAGCTTGCAAAATTCCTGAAAATTCAGCACACTACTGAAGTATGAGGCAAACTAAACTTAAGAGGTTACAAAAGACTTCCATGTTAAGCATAACAAAGTATCACACTGTATTTGTGTATGTGTTTCTTTGTTAAATTTATCTTTTAATTAGTAATTATTTACAAGTACAAAATTCAAAAGTTACAAAATGGTATAGTGAGGACTCTCCCACCCATCCCTTTACATGAACCACCACGTTCTTTGTGGAGGCAGTACATTTTATTCATTTTTTGTATATCTTTCCAGAAGTACTCTCTAAGAAATTATACAAATGTATATATTCTTTTTTCTGTTTTTAAAAATGAAGATGGGAGCATACTATACTTTGTTTCACACCTTGCTTATTTTCCATTTAACAATATATCTTAGAGATCATTCCATTTCAGTACATAAAAACAAGCCCCTTATTGATAGTCATTTTGCTATCACAACATTGTTAACGGATATCCCCGTTCATATATCATTTCACAACCCTGAATGTATACATTAGATAAATTCTACAAATGAAATCACTAGGTCCAAGACTGCTTCAGGAAGAGGCAACAGACACAGTAGGTGGTTAAGCAGTGGAAGAACTAAAGACTCTAATTCTGCTTTCAGTGATTACTGATATAATCATATAATCGAGTTATGTTACCTGCAAACCAAGCTCTGCTTGCTGAAGCTTTCATAACTGGATTATTTGGGATAGAGGGGATGAATGCATGCTGGAGACTTAAAAGATTACAAGAAAAATGAGACACACTGGAGAATAAATAGAATCACATATATCCTACCCAGCTGAGCCTACATTTCCTTAATTCAACCATTTATCCATCCATTATTCCATCCATCCAACTTTGTACCAACTATACATCTATCTATGATAAAGAAAAGAAACAGTCAACAGACTTATTGTCTAATAGGACATGAATATAAGTCAATTGTAATCAATATAACCCAAACAGTGGAATGAATGAATAATACATGAGCCTTATAGAAATTCTGAACAATACTGAAAAGTAAAAAAAAAAAAGAAAAGAAAAGAAAATTGAAATCAACCATAATTTTTCCACTCAGAAATAACTCACATGAACATTTTGAAGTGATATACCTCAAAATTTGTATTATTTAATTTGTATATATACTTTTTTAAATTTTATTTTATTATGTTATGTTAATCACCATACATTACATCATTAGTTTTTGATGTAGTGTTCCATGATTCATTGTTTGCATATAACACCCAGTGCTCCATTCAGTACGTGTCCTCCTTAATACCCATCACCAGGCTAACCCATCCCCCCACCCCCCTCCCCTCTAGAACCCTCAGTTTGTTTCTCAGAGTCCATAGTCTCTCATGGCTTGTCTCCACCTCCGATTTCCTCCCCTTCATTTTTCCCTTCCTATCTTCTTCTTCTTTTTTTTTTAACATATAATGTATTATTTGTTTCAGAGGTAAAGGTCTGTGATTATCAGTCTTACACAATTCACAGCGCTCACCATAGCACATTACCTCCCCAATGTCCATCACCCAGCCACCCCATCCCTCCCTAGAGGGTATTATGCTAAGTGAAATAAGTCAATCAGAGAAAGACATGTATCATATGACCTCACTGATGTGAGGAATTCTTAATCTCAGGAAACAAACTGAGGGTTGCTGGAGTGGGGGGGGGTGTATATATATATATTCTTATATAGAGGAGTGTATATATGTATGTGCATATACATGTGTATAGACACAGATCTTGAATGTTACTATGCACACTGTTTTGTGGATAAATATTAAATAATCGTCTACAACAGTTATTCTCACTAGAGGAGCCTCTAAGAGAAGAAATCAAATTCTTCAAAAGAGGGTTTATTCCAGTCCCAACTTCTGACTTTGAGAATCATTCAACATAATAAAAGATGTTTCCTTGGGAAGCATATCACCCCTGTGGAGAGTATGGGATCCCCGAAAAGACTGAAAACCTCTCTTCCATATTATCATTTAAAATGTGTTCCAGCATGTTCAAAGCCTATTATTTACTTAGTCACTTTCATATTGTTAAAAATAGGGAAATTATTTACAGAGAAACAAAAGTAATCTAAATTAAGACATTTATTATCTTACCTGTAAGGAAGCAAACTGTCATTGTTCTCTTCCAAAGAAGCTAAATGCTGTTTTAGCGCTTCAAGTAAACTGTGGGGTGCCTGAAGATAAAGTTATTGTGAGAGACATATTTTCTGAAAGTTCTTAGCAAATTCATACTCTCTTACATCATAAAAAGGTTCTGAACAAGAATGAAGACACCTATGAATGAACAACCAATAACATAAACAGTCTATTAACACAGATTTTGTATGTTATATGTATTATGTGCTGTATTCTCACAATACTTAACTTTTTCTTCATTTTTTCAGTATTTGTAGGCTACACAGTTCATCTGTGAGTTTTTTCAAATTGTCGCAAATCTCCAAAAAACTTTCCAATATATTTATAGAAAAAAGCTCCACATATAAGTGGACCTGCATAGTTCAAACCCATGTTGTTCAAGGGTCAACTGCAATTGCTACAAACAAATTCATTATGAAAAGCAGCATCTTGATATCAAATCAGATTTTCAAACTGTGCTTTCGCGTACATTTTTTTAAAAATGGCCAAAGGACTGCTAAAACATCTATCTCTTTTGGACTTGAAATCATTATTTTTGACTCCTTCACAAGGAAGGGCAACAAACACATGGGCCTGAAAACAGAGGGGCCTACCTAGCACTCAGTGAGAATGACACAGCCAAGCAGATACCTGCTCAGAGGGCGTTGGAGCCAAATGTGGGGACCAGGAGAAGACCTGTCCAGGAATGCCTCTTCACAATGTGGGCACCCTGAGTACAGAAGACTTAGAGAATCTGTCCCTTGACGAAGCCCACAGGCACCTCAACAGTGGAAAGACCAGGACATCTGCAGCCTCGGGTGAACCTCAAAGCCTCAAGCATACAAGATGGGCAAGAAGGGGCAATGGGACACCCAAAAATGATCAGGGCAGACACACGGTTGCCAAAGGGATAGAGTATACTGGTTCATTCATTCAGTCATTCAATAAATATATAACAAAATAACTACCAAAGAATAACTAAAATAACAAAATAACAACAGTTATCAGGAAATTTGAACAATGTTTGCTGGAAAGAATCCTTTTCATCCGAGTTGTTTTCAGACAATTCACTGACAGCTATAAATCTGTGGCCATGCCGCTGCCCAAGGTTAGCAGACGTGATTAGCAGAACACTGCTTAGGACTACCGGAAACTTAAAACGCACCAAGGCGCTTTACAATGGAAGTGTAGATATGAATCTGTAAGACCTCTTCTGTGAGGCACGCAGTTACCCTCCACCCACCAAAACCACAGAAACAGTGTGGTGAAGTGAGGAGAACGTATCCAGGTATACATTAGGGTGGAACCATCTGGTAGGTCTTTTGAGCTCTGACGAGGGATGTGGCCCAGAGACGTATGTCTGAATATGCTGGTGTACAATAAAGATGCATCAGATGGCAGACGGAGCAGACCTTGCCACCAGAGTTTCTGGGAGTCCCACCGAGCACAAACAGCACAGAATGGTGGAACAGTGAGGGACAGACACAGACACATGAGACAGTCACTCACAGGAGGAGGCTCTGTGAGCCCCAGACCATGTCGAAATCAAGGTAGAAAGGGTTAGCTGGAGAAACGGGGGAGATTTCCTTTTAAGAAAACACAAGGGTTTGGGCGAGCCTTAAAATGGTGAGCCTGCACCGAACAGTTCAGCATCCATTCATATAGTAAAGACTGATGGAACCTACAGCATTTCACTCCGTTCCAGGGTTCCCAGGGCACCCAAGAAAGCACGTCATGGGAGCAGCTCTGCCAACCCTATGCCATGACAAATGACTTTCTGTACTGACTGAGGGCCAGGGGCTGGCGTACGGACAAGGAAGCGCTCCCAGTACAAGGAGTTGATTTACGGAGGAAGGAATGAAGCTCTACAAGAAAGTTGAGCAACAAAGAGCTTCGCCTGTCTTCCACAGCCTCTCCCATAGCCATCTACTTTGTTTTTGATTCAGGGATCCTGGGAACCAGAATTGAGGTAAGGAGGAGAGAGGGTGGCCCAGTGGGAAATGTGGTCCCCCATCCTGGGACTCCTTCTGTCTGATATTCCCCTTGAAGCTCTGACCACAGGCACTGAGCAGTGAAGGAGGCCAAGGCCAAGATGCCAAGTCCAGCTCAGTTAATGCTTGCCTGTGCCCTCATGATGGCCAAACTGCAGTTCTCAGCAAAGGAGCCCTTCCCACCTCTACCACCTACCTGAAGAAACTGAGGTTAATGTGGAGAAAATTCAGAGAGAGGGCTACATTTTGGGAGTTATCTAGGCATGCTTCTGTAGTCTTTTTCAGGAACTCAGGAGCGGGGACTGTGTCTCATTCATTATAGCTCCTTCCTCCTGAAGGGGTCAAGCATGTGTTTGTGAATGACTGTTGATTGATATCCACCAGTTAAGGTGCCTTTGGGCAATGAAATCCCATCTTCTCCCCTAGTCACCCAGACATTCTCACTTTTTCTGTGTTCTGGTTGTCTGCTTTCTCATTCAGGAAGCTGTGAATTACTTCATCCAACAGTGGGGTTCAATGTCTGTGCACAAGTCCCCTTTGTACTTATCTGTACAGGAAGGAATGCTTGCGCTGTGTATATGTTAGAAAACACATTTCTTTAAAGATGTATGGGAAGACATCAGACAGAAAGTCCCTCCTTCTCTGCTGCCAAACCTAACATTTATTTGCATCTACAACCATCCTATCCTTGCCTCCTCCATCCTCTTACTGCTTGCTACTCCTTACCCCTCCTCCTCCAACCTCTTACTGCTACTCCTTACCCCTCCTCCTCCATCCTCTTACTGCTACTCCTTACCCCTCCTCCTCCATCCTCTTACTGCTACTCCTTACCCCTCCTCCTCCATCCTCTTACTGCTACTCCTTACCCCTCCTCCTCCATCCTCTTACTGCTACTTACTCCTCTTACCGCCACCGCTACATCCACAGTGTTCTGGATCCAATGTCCTATAATTCCTGAGGGGACCTCGATCTACTACCCCTGTCTCCCCCTACTTCTTCACCCTCTCTCTCTTCATATGACTACCACCTGTCTGAGTACTTCACCTTCCTCCAGTCCCAACCAAGGCAGGCCTGCCACACCAAGGTCAGGGTTGGGCTTTTAAGCCCTGACTTACGGGATGGGGAGAGCTGGGGGACAGCCATGAAAGTCCTGAGTCTCTGGGCTATGCTGCGACTTAACTGTAGTTAGAGGCCTAGAGGCCAGGAGTGGGTGGGGGAAAATCCTGATGGGGCATGTAACTTGTGGGGTGGAGATCTCTGTATCTTAAATAGTCTCCACCTACCCTCCAGGCAAAATAGTAAACAAAAACACAATCACCTTCCAGGAGGATGCAGAAATTGGTGCCAATCTTAAAGATAAAAAGGATGCAGGGGCGATGTCCCCATCATATCTCCCCGTAATTCACCATTATGGCCCCCAAACCAGTCAGGCCCTGGAGAATGAGAAACTACAGCATAATCAATCAAGTAGTAATCCAACTGTGGCCACGTGCCAGGTACAACAGTTTCTCCGGTACAGGTAGATTAATGTAGTCTCAGATGCACGGTATGCGTGAATGTTCTGCTTTCCATTGCTATCAAAAGTGTAAATCACAAAGAGCTTGTAGGCATGGACTGGAGAACTGTATACACTTACAGTTTTGACCCAGAGTGTGTTAACTCTTCCAACATTCTGTCATACTATGATCAGAAGAAGTCTAGATCATCTGGTTATCCCTCAGAAAATCACACTGATCCACTTATATCCACGATGTCATGCTAACTGGATCAGATGAGCAGGAAGTGGCCAGTATAATAGAGACCCAGAAAGCTACATGTGTTCCAGAAGGTAGGAGCTAAACCCTACAAAGATTCAGGGGCCTTCTATTTTGGTAACATTTTTAAGGTTCCAGTGGCCAGGGATTTACCAGGAAATTCTATCCAAAATAGAAGATAATGTAGTGCATCTTGGACCTCTCACCATCAAAAAGGAAACACAACACCTGTTAGGCCTCTTTGAGTTCTGGAGACAGCATGTTCCCGCCCCAGGGAAAATAATGCTTTGGCCCATATCCCAGATGACCTAAAAGCCTGCCACATTAGTTTGGGGCCCAGAGCAGGAAAGGACTGCTCAAGCCCAATGGCACGTGTGGGACAGAGCACAAGCGAGTCCAAAAGGCACGTCAGGCTGCCTGAGCAGGTTGCCAGACCTTCGTTTCCGCCACCCCTCTACCTCATATCCCACCCACTGCCACGTGAGAGATTCCTGATGAGCGGCTTCTAGGGAAGGAAAAAGCCTGAGTTCATTTGATTCACACAACACTGCTATGAGAAAGACAATAGTATTACACCCATTTTGCAGCTGCATAAGTGAGCTGTGGAGAATGGAAATGAGTTGCTTGAGAGCCCAAATATTCTGCTGTTGCCACTGATCAGTTCTGTCCATTGAAAAAGCAGAGTCTAGTTGTTCTACTACGAGTCACCTTTTAGCACTCAGCAGGGACTGGCCTCTTTTATAAAAGCAACAGCTCAAAGACCTGTTCAGAAAACACATGTCTATGTATCTACATATGTATGTATGTGTGTATGTTAGTCATGAGGAAATGAAAATACATATGTATATTTATGGCAAAGGATGGAGTCTCAGATGATATATTATGAATATAATAAATACATATACATAACAACAACAAAACTCATTTAAACACATAGGAAAGATACACTGACCTGTGTAAGATATGGAATGTTGTTCCGGTCAATTCCAACTTGCTGAATTCACAAACGAGGGGGGACAGTACACATTACAACAGGGAGTGGCAACAAAGAAAAGTAATTGTGAGACCAATGTGCACACAAAAGAGAAAATACCTAGTTGATCAAGAAAAACATGTCAAGCTAAGGTAGGCCTTGTACACTTAAACTTATAGTCACCCTAAGATAAACCTATAAAAAAAAAAAAAAAGACCTGCCAGATATTGAATCTTCGCTGTTCTGGAAAGAGCTAAGCTACATTTTGGATATTATACAAATGTGTTCTAATTTGTCAAGTACTCAGAAGTCAGCTGTTACACAGATTGTTGTTCTCCTGTGAGTAATACGTTGTGTTTTGTTTTTGTTGCCTTGTGTTTGCTTTGCTTTGGTTTTCAGAAGTTCAACTGCTTCTGAGTGTCAGGGGAAATGTGCGGGTCACCTCATGTGTTTCCTTCTTCAACTGATCACAGACCTATTGTCCACTGCCTGAAAAGACAATATGTCATATGAGCTGTTTCTGGCAGAAAGATAAGCTTGGCAACAGTTATCTTCATGGCTACAAACAAAAATCCTTGAACTACTTAATTTTAGTGTATAGTTTCACTGTTTTGTAAAGAAAAGCCTTGGATAGAAATAGATTTCCACACCTCTGCAACTTTCAGGAACTGTACCAGTTTGTGTGTTCTTTCGAGGAACTTGATGTAAATATCCAAACTTTCCTTGCATTCGTTTTTCCTCATATCAAAATATTTGTCTAAAAATAAAAAAAAAATTACCATGAAGGAGCCAGTATCTATTTTAAGCTGAATCTGTATATCATTTTAACTTGTTCAGAACAATTATAGCTTTAATCCAGTTATAGTCTGTCTTAGCAAGCAACGATACTATTCAATCCATATAATCAACAGATTTTTATGAAGTACCATATGCTAAACACTGATGCTGGGAAGATATCTAGAATTTAATAGCATACACAGATAGTTTAGTTTAGTTTAATCTCTACAACTTCCAGTCTGTAATCTTATTTACTAACATCAAGCTCTGAAACTTTTTGAGGAAATGAGCTGTGTTTCCTACTCTTTTATAACTCTACAAATGTACTAGATACTCCTTCAGTGTAAGAAAAATCATGGAAGCTTGGAGAACACTTCCTGCAAAATGAATCATTCATGAAGGCTAAATTAGGACAGAAATTTCCCAGAAATATCAATTAACACTTATACAAAAACTATACAGTTCTGTGGCTAATTAGTCAAGGAATTTTTATCCAAAAAAGCAATATGATATCTCATTATTTTAAAATATGTTTGACCTTAAAAGGATCTTCTATTTGGAATCTAAAATAAATGTAGTCTACGTTAGTCTAAACATAGAGGTAAAAGGTTTTTACCAGTTTATTTTTAAAGCAATGTTTATTCTTTAGCCTACCTAGCAAATTAAGGATCCCCTCATTATAGGCTGCAAAGAGGCGAAGAGAATCCTTAAAGAGGAGCGTGAAAGCAGCATGTATTATACCATTCGTTAGTTCATCAGGATTTGCCTGGAAATTAAATAAAAGAGTAATCAATTACCACCACAGTTTAAAACAATTCCTTCTCCACTTACTGCTAAACAACGTCATTTACCAGTATGTTTAACAGGATTCATAAAGCTCTTACGTTAAAATTAAGAAGAGCATCAAACTGAGTTTGAATAACTGGAAGAGTGTTTAGCAGCTGTTTTGTATCCATAGTTCTCATCATACCATCCATCCTATAAAAGAGAAAAGAGACTCATGATATCAGTAATTAAGAGTTTAAGAAGCACTGTGACATCAGGATCTTAAAATAAAGCTGTGTTTTTGGTCAACGACATATCGGAGGACTTACGTATTTCAGTATTTCTTGCTTACAAACTAATGATATTTACTGACCCTCTCTTGGTTTTGGTGATGTCAGATGCGATCAGTCTATATGCGAGTGACTTCTCATTCAAGTACCTGCTATATCGTCTGATGAAGGTTGACATAGCATAGCCTAAAAATGAAATACTTCATTATTTCCAATTTATTTTTTATTTTTTTAATTATTTTTAATTAACATCTAATGTCTTATTGGTTTCAGGGGTACCGGTCTGTGATTCATCCGTCTTACACAATTCACAGCGCTCACCATAGCACATACCCTCCCCAGTGTCCATCACCCAGCCACCCCGTCCCCCCCACCCCCCACCACTCCAGCAACCCTCAGATCGTTTCCTGAGATTAAGAGTCTCTTACAATTTAACCAATATTAACCATTTACAATATATGTCAATAAATGCACAGACTTATCATTTCACAAAAGCTAGAATGGACCTTACTAATTATCTAGTCCAATATTCCTCACACTTTCTGCTAAAGATTATTTCTTATTTCCTCAAAGCCTTGAAATCACCTCATGATGTAGTGCTGATGGTGACATTCCTGAATAGAGGAAATAATTGAACTTTATCAGTTTCTTTCACATCTCCACAGAAACTACTGTAAATTCTTAACATTTTCCTGAAACTCCCCATTCCACTGTCACCATCCCTTCTCAAACCTCCCATGTTTTAACCAGGCATGGTTTTCAAAACAGAGCTTTTCCCTCCTTGCCACATGGACTATTTCCATCAAAGAATCATCTTACCTTCCATGACGCTTTTATCCAGGAAGTTGTGTAAAGTGAACAAAGAGTTTCTAGATGCAAGATGTTGGATAAAACGCTGTCAAATGTGCCAAATTATAAAATTAGCTTCTGTCCACAAATAGAGCTCTTTAATGAGTTTATCATTGTGAATACATATTTAACATAATTCTATCATATAGCTTCTAGCTATTTCAGGAGCATTGATTAAGGTGAGCGTGATCATATCCTGGGTTACCCAACATAAGAATATGCACCGTTGTCAACTCTCCTCTGTCTATATATCTCGCAGAGAAAAAAGGGGTTAAACATTAAAGCTCATAGGAATATACACTCTTTGCCCCCAGGACTTTCTATCTAGCCATTCTCCCCTTTTTTATTTTGAGAAGTTTTAACTAATTACAGAACTATTTCAATAGTGAACATTAAACTATTTAATAATTTAATTTGCAGAAAATTTTAAAATAATTTGATACATCTGGGTGCCACACTACCCAGAAATGATAACAGCTAACTTTTTAACATAACTGCTTCAAGTCTATTTTTAAAATAAGAAGAATAAAGTTTTATAGACAAAGTTGAAAGTGCCCTTTGCCCATCCCCAAGTTCCATTTCCTTTTCCTCCCCTGGAGGTAACTGCTATCATAATTTTAATCTCTATAGTCTATTTTCTTTATAGTTTCAGATATATTTGTTTCATGGACAAATATTAAGTATTTTTAAATTTACATAAACAATATTATATCTGAATGTCATTCTGCAACTTACTTCCTCTATTAGCATTGTTTTTGAGATCTAGCCTCATTGGTATTCATCCCATGTAATGTTATATGGTACCTCATTGTATATATGCACTTCGTTTTAGCTATCTGTTCTGTACTGATAGAAATTTAGGTGATTTCTACTTTTTAATTATTATAAATATGCTATAAGATGTGGATGTCCTGGGTCACTGGGCTTGGCATTTTCAATTTTACTAAACATGTCTCAATGATCTCCTCTCCCCAGTCATAAATTCCAGCAACTAATATTTTACATGATACTGTCATGCATTTTAAATTTTATCTGAGCACATTCTCAGATGGTTATCAGCAATTCTGGTTTCCTTTTCTATGAATTCTCTGTTCATTTGTCTTGTGCATTATTCCACTATACTGCTTTTTTTCTTACTGGTCATGTATCCTGAACATTAATCTTTTTTCTGTAATATATATGTTGGAAATTATCTTATTCCAACTTTATGGTGTCTTCCCTACTCAAATGTTATAACATATTCTCCTACATTTTCTTCAATTTTAAAATTTAGGTTTTTGCATTTATAGATGTTTCATTCATGGGGAACTTATTTTTGTATACTGGGGTAAGATTAAGATCTCATTCTATTTTTTCCAAAGGATGTTATTTCTACCAAAAGGCTTTATTTTATTGTATTGTATCTAAATTCTAGTTAGTTAACATACAGTGCAATATTGGTTTCAGGAGTAGAATTCAGTGATCCATCACTTATATATGACACCCAGTGCTCATCACAACAAGAGCCCTCCTTAATACCCATCACCCATCCAGGCCCCCCCCCCATTCACCTCCTTCCATCAACCCTCAGTTTGTTCTCTACCTTTAAGAATCTCTTATGGCTTGTTTTCCTCTCTCTCCCTTTTTTCCCCCTTCCCCTATGTTCATCTGTTTTGTTTCTTAAATTCCACATATGAGTGAAATCATATGGTCTTTGTCTTTCTCTGACTTATTTCACTTAGTATAATACACTCTAGGTCCATCCATGTCGTTGCAAATGGCAACATTTCATTCTCCAAAAGGCTTTATCTTAAATTCTATACTTTCCCCCACATTTTTTGTGCCACCAAGTTCCCATATAAATACATAGTTCTACTTTTTATCAATACCATACTGTATAATTAGTTGCTTTACAGTACGTTTCAAAATCCAGTCAATTTCTAAATCCTAATTTTTTAATGCAAAGCTTACTGAGACAAAATGTTAAAGGAGAATAAGTAATTTGATGTTAAAGAACATTTCAGTTCTGTAAAATACAAAGACTGTATGTGGGGAGAGGTGGACAGGTGATGATGTAATCCACTCAGGCACCTGGTTTCTCCTGGTAAAGTAAAGCAATACATCTTGGAGGGTTTTCTCTCTTTGGTCTAAAGAATCTAAAGAATTGAGAGAAATGTCCACTCTATTACCCTCCAGTAAAGATTGCAAAGATATACTCCTAAGTAAAAATGCAAAGATCACCTTTTGGTACCTAGTGCTATTCACTTCCCCACTTGTCACAAAGTAAAGGATAATAAGCCTTGACAAACCAAGAGCATTGTGCAATCATGAACTGACAGTGCTTCGACTGACCACGTGAATACCCGGCGTGCTCACCTCATTTCCATGCACCATAAGGTGATGTACAGTAACCAGGGCTTTGAATACTACCACCCAGCTGCTGCTCCCGGCTTTCTCAGAAAGAATATCAGCCAGATGTTTAACACTCATATTTGTTCCATTTATGTACTGTATTAGGTCTGAATTAGAGACAGTGACAAGTATTAAAACACAGACTGAGAAATAATTTTCAAACCCAAAATCGGTAACTTTAACTTAAATACAGAGCAGTCAAATGTCAGAAATGACAAAAGGAATAATCCAAAACATTTTCTTCATTACTGGTATTACAATTTGTACGGATATATGTTACATTACAGTTAATGCCCATCTACGCTAGTGTCCTGGGTACTTGATGGGGGTAGGAACTGTGTCCACTTTGGTCACCAGGTGTCCCCAAGACCCAGCGCAATAGCTGGCATACAACGAGTTATGGTAAATAGTTGTTGAATGAATGAATAGGACCCAAGAAGCTAACATACACAATGCCATGCAGGTTGTTAAGTGGCAGGGCTGGTATTTGAAATCAGACTTGTTTGACCAAGATATTAACCATTATGTCACACTGCCTCCTGAAAGAAAAGTGTCATTACATGAGGTTCAGTCAGGAGCTTTCCTTGTAGTGTTACCCCATGTCTGACCCTTTTGCTTGCATCCTTCAACCTTTTGTTGCTTCTTCTCCTGTTTTAAAAAAAATTTTAAGTAAACTCTACCCCCAACGTGGGGCTCAAACTCACGACCCCAAGATCAAGAGTCACATGCTCTACCAACTGAGCCAGCCAAGTGCCCCTATTGCTTGTTCTTCTTGAGTCCACTTTCATATAGCCTTATACCTGGTTTACTTTTTTTTAAAGATTTTATTTATTTATTTATTTGACAGCGAGAGAGGGAACATGAGTGGGGGAGTGAGAGAGGGAGAAGCAGGCTTCCCGCTGAGCAGGGAGCCCGATGCGGGGCTCGATCCCAGGACCCTGGGATCACGACCTGAGCCGAAGGCAGATGCTTAACGACTGAGCCACCCAGGCACCCCTATACCTGATTTACTAAAACAGCTTCCCAACTGCCTGCTTAGGGTTATAACCATCCATCAATTTACTTCATACCACCCCTCAAAAGCTAAGTTTCATAATTTCATTTTTCCATTCAACAACATGCAATGATTCCCTACTGTTTTTCACTTCAAAATCCTCTGTGGTTTTAAAAGTGTCTGTAAACTGGGGCCGCCCGGGTGGCTTAGTTGGTGAAGTGTTTGCCTTCCGTTCAGGTCATGATCCCAGGGTCCTGAGATCGAGTTCCGTGTCGAGCTCCCTGCTCCACAGGGAGCCTGCTTCTCCCTCTCCGTCTGCTGTTCCCCCTGCTTGTGCTCTCTCTCTGTCAAATAAATAAATACAATCTTAAAAAAAACTGTAAGCTATCATTATAAAACAACTTCATCCCTAGCACTTATTAATCAGCATGTTCACATGCGTAGCACCAGGATACGTACTGAGGAGGATGCTTCGCAAATATGCTAGTGGAGCAATAGGCTGACCTTAACCTAGATCCATTTATTCAAGTATATATACTACATTCCAGTGGCTATGCCATGGTTAAGGCTATGAAGAATGAGCTTCTCTCATGTTTTTTCTCTAAGTCAGGTTCATTCCTCTTTCTGGTAAGTTTCCTCTGCAAGCTTTTTGTTTCCACTTTCCCACTATTTATTTCAGCCTTTGGACTGAACCTTTGGGAATCATGGTACTGACTCAAGTGCCCCCTTTGGTTCCATGCACCTCTCACATAGCTAACTATTGTTCATCTTTTAGGGCTTGAGAAGCCAATTTTGGCACATACTAAATCAATACTAAAATGGAGAGTTTTTAAGCAAAATACCAAAATAAGGAGGTGATCATAAGAGTGAGTTGGCTGTGACGTTTTCCAAAGCAGTGGGATTAATGTATATTGCCAAAAGTACATACTGTTGATGAAGTCAGTGCTTGATGTGAACTCAAACAATAGGGGGCAAGGCTAGCCTGAGAGTCTATTCTGTCTTTGAGCATTCTAAAGCCTATTCATTGACCTTAGGTTAGGACTGCTTATGGGATGATCTGCTCTATAGACTTTTCCTTCCTTTATCTCACAAGTCTTGCTGAATGTAATGATTTATAAGGGGGTTCGGGTGGACTTTGGAATTAGGCCCTTTTCAGAAGGCTGGGTCGTTATTCCACCACTTCGTGTGTCCTAAGTTATTGTAGTAACTTATAAATAGTTCAGAGTTTGGACTTAAAAAGGCCAATGGTTCTCTTCCAGGCTCACTCCAAGATGACTGGGGATAAGAATTCAATCTCCCCTCAAGGCTCCTGCAAGAAAATGACGGTTGGGGGAGGGGAGCGGGGGCCCGACATTAGAGGCACCTAGGCCTCACGAGCTGTCTACTCACCCGCCAGGTGTTTCGCCTCGGGTTCTGTGGGCTCATCGGTGGTCGCCCTGTGGGCAGCCTTGGACGCAGACGACCCCATGTGTGCGTCGCAGACTGTCAGCCACGAGGGTGATGGCTCAGGAGTCTGGTCCCTCCTCTTCCGGAACAGCGGACTGAGCAAGGATAGCTCTGCAGGCAACAGGTGGCGCTCCGGCGTTGACGGAATAAAGGCCTTTTCCTCTTGCTGCCTGACGCAGACCTGCAGCATTATGAGGTGGGATTTAAAGCGGCGAGGCAGGGCGCCCGGGTGGCTCAGTCGGTTGGGCGACTGCCTTCGGCTCAGGTCATGATCCTGGAGTCCCGGGATCGAGTCCCGCATCGGGCTCCCTGCTCAGCCAGGAGTCTGCTCCTCCCTCTGACCCTCCCCACTCTCGTGTGCTCTATCTCTCTCATTCTCTCTCTCTCAAATAAATAAATAAAGTCCTTTAAAAAAAATAATAAAATAAAGCGGCGAGGCATCAGGGTGTTCTGCAAGAGTGCTGGGAAAGCGGGTTGGAGGACAGGACTGAACTTGGGGCAGATCCTTTGTAGAGTAGATGCTCAATAACAAAATAAACAACCATCGATTGAATATTATGAAGAAGGGGGGGACATGTTGGGGACTCCAGATGAAAGGTCTGCAGATCTTCAGGTCTTGGAAAGTTCACATATTATGGGGACTATTTCCTGCTTGAGGACATGTTCTTCTATCCTTCACCCGGCATCAGATATATAAGTCCATAGAGTTGTTCATACGATCACTTTATTATCCTTTTAATATCTGTGGAATCTGTAGTGATGTTCCCACTGTCATTCCTTATATTGGGTAAGTCTTCTCTCATCTTTTTCTTCATAGCTCTGGGTAGAGAGCTATCAGATGTAATGATCTTCTCAAAGAACCAACTTTTGGTTTCATTGATTTTCTCTATATTCAGTTTTCTATTTCATTGATTTCTGCTCATTATTTCCTTCTACTTCCTTTTCATTTATTTTGCTCTTTATTTTCTGGTTTCTTAAGGTAGGTTAGATAACTTATTTGAGATTCCTCTTCTATTATAATACAAGCATTTAGACTTAAGTACTGCTTTTCTTGTCAAAGAACATATTTCTTATGATTTCAATCTTTTAAGCTTTGTTGAGATTTATTTTATGAAACAGAATATACTCTATCAAGATCAATGTTCTGTGAACCCTTGAAACGATGCATATTTTTCTACTATTAGGTGCAGTGTTCCAATTAAATGTGTAGTATAGTTCCTGACATTGTATCACAAGTGACTGAAATTGTTCATTTTGGGTTCTGGAGCCTTCCCCCACCAGGCTTACAACTGGAGAGTTTCTTTGGGTATTTCTTCAAGTTCACTGATCTTCTGCACACTAATCTTCTGTTAATCCCATCCAGGACAGGTTACATTTCTAACATTCTATTTTTCATCCCTAGCAATTCCATCTGGTTCTTTTTATATCTTTTATTGCTCTTCTCATTATGTTCACATTTTCCTTTAAACCCTTGAGGATATTGATAACAGTTGTATTAGTTATTTTAAGATGCACGTCTGTTAATTCATCTTTGTTAATTCTAGCTCTGTTTCTGTTGACTTATTTTTTTCTTGTGCATGAGTCACATTTTTCTGCTTCTTCCTACGCCTAGCAATTTTGTATGAATACTAGACACTGTTAATTCTACTTTGTTGAGTCCTATATTTTGACGTATTCCATTAAAGAATGTTGAAGTTTGTTTAGATAGGCACATAAACTACTTTCATATCACTTGTATCCTTTCAGGACATGTTTTCTTAAACGGCTTTATTGATATTTAATTCACATATCATACTATTCACCCATTTAGTCTACAGTTCAGTAGCTTTTGGTATATTCAGAGTTGTACAACCATCACCAGGATCAATTTACATCTTTACCACCTTCAAAAGAAACCCCAGACTCATTAGCTGTCACTTCCCATCTCCCCCTAAACCATGCATTCCTAGGCAACTACTCTTCTACTTTATGACTCTAAAGATTTTTTTGACATTTTATATAAATGAAATCATTCAATATGTGGGCCTTTGGGACTGCCATCTTTCACTTAGCATAATATATTCCAGGTTCATTCATACTGTAGCATGTATTAGTGCTTCGCTCTTTTTATGGCCAAATAATATTCCATTGTGTGGGTATACTACAATTTATCTATTCATCCACTGATGGATATTTGGCTGTTTCCATATTGAACTATTAATACTGTTTCTTTTACAAGTATTTGTTTCAATACCTGTTTGTAGTTTTGGGTATATACCTACCAGTGGAATTGCATGGTCATATGGTAATTCTATGTTGAACTTTTTGTGAGAAACTGCCAAACTATTTTCCACAGTGTTTGAACCATTTTACAACACCAGGAGCAATGTATAAGGGCTCTAATTTCTTCACATCCTCATCGACATTTGTTTGATTATAGCCATCCTACTGTGTGGCAAGTGGTATCTCTTTGAGGTTTCATTTGCATTTCCCTGATGACTAATGATTTAGAGGACTTTTTTTCATGTGCTTATTGGCAATTTGTGTATCTACTTGGGAGAAATGTCTATTCAGACCCTTTGCCCATTTTTTATGTATTTTTATTTTTTTAAGTAGGTTCCACACCCAGCGTGGAGCCCAATGCAGGGCTTGAACTCATGACCCTGATATCAAGAACTGAGCTAAAATCAAGAGTCAGATGCTTGACCAACTGAACCACCCATGTGGTCCCCTTTGCCCATTTTTAAATTGAGTAATCTTTTTTTCAGTTTTATTGAGGTATGATTAACAAATAAAAGTTTTGTATATATTTAGGTTGTACAATGTCATGTTTTCTTTTAAGGTGTTATGAGGGTTTAGTTTTTACATTTATAATATTCTTAATAGTTTATTATAAACTAGTTTCACAGGCCACAAGGAAGTAAAAGGACTATGTACAGCCTTACAGGAAACAGACAGGGTGCAGAGGAGGGCCAAAATGAGTCTAGGGCCTTGGTGGGTGTATTCCAGGGGGAGGGGGCCCTGAAAGGGAAACCAGACAATCCCGTGAGACTCTGAGAACAAGGGCATAACAAACAAACAGGTCTGTGGTAACCTGGCCCTGGGGTATTAGGCCTCTGTGGAGCTACTTCCATAACTCTGTGGCCAAGGTTCAAAGAAGTCCTCACATCCCTGGGGGAGGCGGCCGCATCCCTGGAAAGGGCATGCCCATTGGAGTTCCTTGTCCAGAGGGGGATCCCCACTGGGGGGCCCATGGGAGGTCTCATGCCAGGTGGTGGGCCCATCATGCTGGAAGGGGGTGCCCTCGGCTCATAGGTAGGGGAGGGCCCCCACAGCCAGGTGGCTATTGGGATGGGGCCCTTGCAATATTTACTGGCTGTGGCAGCAGCTACAGTGGCTGCAACATTGCCTCTTCCTTGTGTGGTCATCACCTGTTGGGATGGCCCACCAACCCCTCAGACAGGCAGACTGGCCCAGCAAGTCTTATTTCACTTAGCATAATGTTCTCCAGGTTCATCCATATTGTCACAAATGGCAGCATTTCCTTCTTTCTTATGGCTAAATAATACTCCATTGTATATACACTATATTTTCTTTATCCATTCATCCATCAGTGGACACTTAGATTGTTTCCATATCTTGGCTATTATTAAAAATTAAATAAAATCTTTACCAAAAAAATGCTACAATAAACATGGGAGTGCATATATCTCTTTGAGATCCTGATTTCATTTTCTATGGATATATACCCAAAAGTGGGATTGCTGGATCATTCAGTAGATCTATTTTTAATTTTTTTAAGAATCTCCATACTGTTTTCCATAATGGCTAAACCAACTTACATTCCCATTAACAGTGTGCAAGTGTTCCTTTTTATCCACACCCTTGCCAACACTTGTTATCTCTTGTCTTTTTTTTTAAAGATTTTTGTTAGAGTAAACTCTACACCAAACATGGGGCTCAAACTCATGACCCCAAGACAAAGAGTTGCATACTCCACCAACTAAGCCAGCCAAATACCTCATCTCTTGTCTTTTTAATAATAGCCTTCCTTACAAGTGTGATGTGATATTTTGTGGTTTTGGTTTACATTTCCTGGATTTTCATATACATGTTGGCCATTTGTAGGTCTTCTTTGGAAAAAATATTTATTCAAGTCCTTTGCCCATTTTTTGACAGGTTGTTTTTGTTTTGTTTTGTTTGCTACTGTTGTATTACTTCCTTATATATTTTGGATACTAGCTTCTTACCAGATATATGATTTGCAAATATTTTCTCACATTCTGTAGGTTACATTTTCATTTTGTTGATGGTTTGCTTTGCTGTACAGAGCTTTTTAGTTTGATGTAGTCCCACTTGCTTATTTTTACTTTTGTTTTCTGTGCTTTTGGTGTCATATCCAAAAAATCATTACCAAGACCAATATCAAAGAGATTTTCCCTGTGTTTTCTTCTAGGAGTTTTGTGGTTTCAGGTCTTATATTTAAGTCTTTACTCCATTTCAAGTTAGTTTCTGTGTATTGTGTATTGTGTAGTATATGGGTCTAATTTCACTCTTTCGTGTGTGGATATCCGGTTTTCCCAACACCATTTAGTGAGAAGACTATCATTTCCCCATTGTGTATTCTTGGTGCTCTTGTCAAAGATTAGTTGACCATGTATGTGCAGGTTTATTCCTGTGTTCTTTATTCTAGTCTGTTTGTCTATGCGTCATCTGCAAACAGAGATAATCTTGCTTCTTTTTTTACAGTTTGGATGTCTTTTCTTTTTCTTGCCTAATTGCTCTGCCTAGGACTACCAGTATTAGGTTAAATAAAGGAGTAAGAGTGGGCACCCTTGTTTTGTTTTCTGAACCTTGAGAAAAAGCTTTCAGCTTTTCACCATTGAAGATGATGTTAGCTGTGGGCTTGTTGGCTATGGCTTTTATTACGTTGAGGTACACTTGTAACCTTCATTTTGTTAATTTGGTGTATCACATTGATTGGTTTGTCAATGTTAAAACATCCTTGCATCCCTGGAATAGGTTCCATTTGATCATGATGCATGATCCTTTGCTGGTGCTGTTGAATTTGGTTTGCTGGTATTTTGTTGAGAATTTTACATCTATATTCATCAGGGATATTGGCCTACAATTTCATTTTATTGTGTGTCCTTATCTGGCTTTGGTATGAGGGTAATGCTAGCCTTATTAAATGAATTTGGATGTGTTCCCTCCTCTTTAATTTTCTGCAAAAGTTTGAGAAGGATTGGTATAAATTCTTAATTAAATGTTTTGTAGAATTCACTCATGTACCGTTTTAAGCCTTTTTGG